TGATGAGTGCCCACTATGGGGAGACCCCTGGGGCAGCCTGGAGGCTCACAGCAGCCTCGACCTCCTGGGCCCAAGCAATCCTGACTCCAAGACGCAGGGACGTTTATGAGAATAGATAAGAGGGGACAAGGCACAGATGCCCTCTGTCTGTCCCCACATGTGAGGCCAGGAACAAATGTGTGTGTGCGCACAAGCCTGGGGCCACCCTCGGAGGAGGGAATCCATGATGTATGACCAGCCTAAGTGGAGCGTCTGCACTGAGCCTGTGGAGTGTTCTAGAAGACTCATCCTCCCTTCCCAGGGCACGCTGCACTGTGGATATTCTGCTGATCAGGCGGTGGGTACCATCCATAATTAGCACTGAAATCCTGGGCTCAGCATCAGAGCCGGGAGGCGCAGGGTGATGACTGAGGACTCAGCATTGAAGCTGATTAGAGGCAGGTTATGGGAGTTACACCTGTGCTATCAGGTGACGTGAATGTGTAATCTTGTTTCCAGCTTTCCACAGCCCTTTAATCCTTCTTTGTCAAGAACAAATTTCAAGCCATCCCGTTTCTGAATGATCACGTTTGAAAGGGGATGCTCTGCATTAACCTCTGACCGGCGCCGGTCCGTGTCTCAGTGCTTGGCCGCTTGCTTTAAGCAGGCTGTGTTATCCTGGACTTGATCCTCCAAACATGACGTGACTCAGCACTCACATCAGGCCCTGGGCTAGGCACTGAGGACACTCAAGACACAGTCCTTGCTGTCTTGTCACCATAGGCAAGAAGAGCCTATTCCCCAGGAGTGGCTTGTCGTAGCTAGGGGATCCATCCCAGAAAGCTTCCCGGAGGAGATGGTAGCTGAGTGGAGACTTGCACATGATAAGTGCTCATTAGTGTCAGCCGCTGTTGTTATTCCCAGTAGGAATAAGAGGGGAGAAGCTCTTATCACCATGAGGGTGGGAAGCGCATCCCCTTCAGATGGAACAGCATTTGAGAAAAGGCAAGCAGTTCTCTCCCAGCCAAGTGGGGCGTGGGGCAGGGAGTCATGATCAGTGATCAGAAAGTGGGGACGTAGTGAGGCTGGAGAGAGAAGCAGGGGGTCAGCCCTGCTTTGGTTCTTTAAAGAATTTTGTTTTGTTTTTAAGGTGGGGACAGGAGCTGTGGATTTAAGAAACCACTCTGGCAGCAGCTGGGGGGAGGCTGCAGTCAGGCAGGCCACTATTCAGGTGAGGGAAAGTGTGGCCATGGAGAGGGGAGGAGCACAGGCTGAATTACAGGGGGGTGTTAGGAAGGACAGCCAGGACTTGTGCATCTAGTGGCCTTAGGGCCCTGGCTCATGCTCAGGATGGACAGATGCAGAAGCGTGCCCCAGTGTGATGAGTGCCCACTATGGGGAGACCCCTGGGTGCCCCAGGTCAGCCTTGGTTTGGGACTGAGGCCCTGTGTGACTGGGCGGGGTGGGGTGGCCACCGGAGTGTTCTGCAAGACACCCCCATGCTGCCATGATGGGGGGCCTGATGGTGGGAGGCTGCAGGGGGATCCTGGTGGTGGCTGCTTCATACCGGGGTCCTGCTTCCCCTCAAAGGCACATGGAGGACTATGGAGTCCGTACCTGCAGGGCCACTCTCCACGCCAGAGTGAAGAGCCGAGAGGCCTGGTGGAAATGTGCAGGGCATGTCATACCCACACCTGAGAAAATGTCCCAGTCCTGACGGCACCAGCAAACAAGCAGTTAAAAGTATTCCGTGGCTTCCAGGGTCACAGAGTGGAGCCTTCCCCAGAGTCAGGAGCCTGTGTCCAGGGTCACTGCCCCTGCAGAGCTCAGAGCCCAGACCTCCCTGCCCACTCTCTCTGGGAGTGATTGCTCAGCAAAGACAAAAAGGCAGCGACCCACCGTGGACCAAAGCCCCGGAGCCAGGGCCTATCCCCCCACAGTGCTGTTCCTCCCATACTGGGTCTCGCCAGGTGGGATAAGACACCTCTGTGTAAAACACGCCCACACACTCCCGAGATGTCGGTGCAAAAGCAGTCTGTCCGCTCTTCCTGAAGTGCTGATGGGTCATACTATATTCAAAAGCCTTTAAAAAGCGAATCCTCGGTGACGTTACAATTATTCCCCTGGGAGTGCCCCGGGAAGTATTAGAGATATACCACGAAGACATTCACAGCAGCAGGTCTGCAAACCACCTCAACAGCCAACCGTCAAGAGTGAGGAAAAGAAGTTACATATGGGACATGTGAACAGTGGATTCTTCTGCAGTCATTAAAGTGTGCCCGAGAAACACTGAAGAGGAGGTGAGTTGTTTGCTGCATAAACGTGACGTACGACCACGATGATTTTGAGTATGTATTAGGAACAGACAAGAAAGGCTGAACGAAGATACCCCTGGATGTCAGCTGTGTTTCTCGGAGTTGGGGTTCTATCTGTTATGTTCTCAGGGGTGCTTTCCCGTGTTTGCATACTTGCTGACGATGAATATGTATCACTCACGTTTGCAGAGGGAGTCAGTTGCGTGTGTGTGTCTCAATGGCACAGAAATAAACCGGCAAGTAAGATTCACAGTGACTCAGTGCTTCCACAAAGCAAGTTTCTCTCTCCCAGCTTGGAAATTAGGATGGAAAATGCCGGATGTGTGAAGCCTGGCTTGAGCCCTGTTTGTCTAGAGCTGGGCTCCCCAGAAGGGCTGTCCCCAACCACCTGGGCAGGGTCAGGAGCTGGTTATGTGTACAGGCCTTGGTTCATGCAAGATTCTTGGGACCAGAATCTCAAAAATATCTTTTCTTCCCCACCCCCACAAGAAATATACATAACAAAATTTGTCATTTCAGCGCATTAGGTGCATTCACATTGCTGGGCAACCATTACCCTGGTCATTCCTTCATCATTCCAAACTGAAACTCCACACCTATTACATGGTAACCCAGGGCCAGGCTCGGTGGCTCACACCTGTAATCCCAGCACTTTGGGAGGCTGAGGTGGGCAGATCACAAGGTCAGGAGATTGAGATCATCCTGGCCAACACAGTATAACCCTGTCTCTACTAAAAATATAAAAAATTAGCTGGGCGTGGTGGTGCACACCTGTAGTCCTAGCTACTCATGAGGCTGAGGCAGGAGAATCCTTTAAACCTGGGAGGCAGAGGTTGCGGTAAGCCGCGATTGAACCACTGCACTCCAGCCTGGGCGGCAGAGTGAAACTCTGTTTCAAAAAATATATATAATAATAATAACTCCCCAGTGCCCTGTAAGCATTGCTTTACTTTCTTTCTTTTTTTTTTGAGATGGAGTTTCGCTCTTGTTACCCAGGCTGGAGTGCAATGGCGCAATCTCCGCTCACCGCAACCTCCGCCTCCTGGGTTCAGGCAATTCTCCTGCCTTTCTAACTCTATGAATTTCACTACTCGAGGGACTTTGGACAGGTGGACTTGTACACTGTGTGCCTTTTCGTGTCTGGCTGACTTCACTCTGTGCCGTGTTTCCAAGGTTCATCCCCGTCATAGCATATGTCAGAACTTCATTCCTTTTCAAAGCTGAGTAGTACTCCATTGCACACCTATATAAGCTGCCTTTTCCTTCCCGTTCATCTACCCATGGACGTTGGGGCTGTTTCCACCTTCTGTCCATCATGCATAATGCTGCTGCTTTGTAGCAAAAGTGTGCAAATATTTGTTAGTGTTCTTGTCGTCAACTCTGGGGGGTCTATAGTTAGGAGTGGAATTGCTGGGTCCTGTGGTTCTGTGTTTACGTTTCTGAGGAGCGCTCATACGGTTTTCCACAGCAGCTGCACCATTTTACACTCCCACTAGCAATGCTAACGTTCCCACCAACAGGGCTAGTTTTTACATTTTTTATAAAGATGAATTCTCGCTATGTTGCCCAGGCTGGTCTCCAGCTTGTTTTTGTTTGTTTGTTTGTTTTGAGATGATTCTCACTCTGTGGACAGGCTGGAGTGCAGTGGCAGGATCTCGGCTCACCGCAACCTCTGACTCCCTGGTTCAAGCCATTCTCCTGCCTCAGCTTCCCGAGTAGCTGAGATTTGCCTCAAACTCCGGGGTAGCTGGGATTACAGGCGTGCACAACCACGCCCAGCTAATTTTTGTATTTTTAGCAGAGACAGGATTTCACCACGTTGACCAGGATGTTGAAATTCCATTTCGACATAGTGAAATCCCGTCTCTACTAAAAATACTAAAAAATTTTTAGTGGAATCAGGATTTCACCATGTTGGCCAGAATGACATCGTGATCTGCCTGCCTTGGCCTCCCGAAGTGCTTCGGGTACAGGCATGAGCCACCATGCCCAGCATTTTTTTTTTTTTTTTTTTTTTTTTTTTTTAGACAGAGTTTTGCTCTTGTTTTCCAGGCTGGAGTGCAATGGCTCAATCTCACCTCACTGCAACCTCTGCCTCCCGGGTTTAAGCCATTCTCCTGCCTTAGGCTCCCAAGTAGCTGGGATTACAGGCTGCCACCATGTCCGGCTAATTTTCGTTTCACCATGTTGGCCAGGCTGGTCGTGAACTCCTAACTTCAGGTGATCCACCTGCCTCGTCTTGAGCTCTTGAGCTCAAGCAATTCTCCTGCCTTGACTTCCTAAAGTGTTGGAACTACAGGTGTGAACCACCACGCCCAGCCAGGAGTTCTTTATATATTCTGCAAATGAGAGATCTTTTTTGTATATAGAGTACTCGAGTTTAAACCGATTGTTAAAATACTGATTGATTACTTTTTAAATGTGGAACACATAAAGATAAAGGGAGGTACAAGCAGCATTCGTGTTCATATGCTTTGACTCAGCAATTCCACATCTAGGGACTGGACATGCACAAAGATTTAGCTCAAAGAATGTTTATCATAAAAGAAAGAAGGAAGTAAGAGATGGAATTGGAAGTAAAATCAATATCCAATAATCTCATATGGGTTAAATAAAATACAACCCCTCTGTGTATGATCACAAAGTGTGGATGAACACTAAATGATGTGTAACGTTTAGAATATAGCCATGGTCAAAAAGACAAAGTTGTAGTATTTACAGCATGATCTATTTTTTGTCTCAACAAATGCATAATTGTGTAAAAAGAAAGAAAGAACGTCAACTGTTAACAATGGTGATCTCGTGTGAGGGAATCTCAGGCTACTTTTTTTCTTTGTAATTTTTTCCAATTTTCCAAATTCCATACAGTAAACGTGTAGTCTTGCAATTAGAAAAAAAAAATGTTATTTTTAAAGGTAGCCGCAAGCGTATATACAAAGTTATCCTGATTATGTAAAAATCCGTATAGTTAGATGAAAAGATACTCCAGACCAGTATTTTGCTTGGTGACTCGGAAAGGTTTCTCCTTTTCTTACTTTGTACTCGCCTAGGTTTTACAAATCTTCCACTGTCTGGTTGTTTTATCTGGTTTAGGGAGGGGGAAAAAAACAGCAAAAGTTGTTTAAAGTGGAGACCTAATTTGCGCGAAAGTTCGGAATCAGCCCCACGGCCCGCCACGCAGGCCCCGCCCAGGCCCAGGCCCCGCCCTTGCCCCAGCCAGGCCCCGCCCCACAGCCACCGCCCTCCGAGTCTTCGCCTGAGCTTTCTGAGAGGGCCAGAGGCCCCGCCCAGTCCCCGCCCACCCCACTGCGACGCAACGTCCGCACAGCCCTCGTCGTGGGATCTAAGAGATGGCCCCCCAGAGGCCCCGCCCCCTGCACGTAGAAACCCGGCCCCCAGACTTTGCCCCGCCTCCTCAGCTGCGGCGCTACGTCCGCACGGCTTGTCTCACCCTCGCTTGGGCTTCCGGAACGGGCAGCGCCGAGGCCCGCCCCCCGGTCGCACCAGGCCCCGCCCTTTTGGCTACGGCGCTGCGTCCTCGCCGCGCGTCGCGTCCTCGTCCCGGCTTCCGGGGCGGGACGGAAGAGCTGGCGGGCCCGGCCAGTCCAAGGCGCCGCGGCTTCCGCCCAGGAGGGGCGCTGGTCCTAGACGAGGTCGTGCGCGCTTCCTGCGTTGGTTTTTTGCTGTCCCCGCCCGCCCCCAGGTGCGCGGGACGTAGAGGCGGGACAGCGGGTAGGCGGAGATGAAAGAGGCCGGCGGCGGGGCCCCGGGGGCGCGCGTGCCAGGCCCTGCTGCAGCCCCCGAGAGGTCGGAGGTGCGGAGCCTATGCACTGGGCCGGGGGCCAGCCCGCGTGTCGGCCTGCGCGGAACGCACACCTCGGACAGAAAAGTGACATCAGAACCCTAGGCTCTGTTGTCAACCAGGGTTACAGATGTCACCCTCTCTGCACGGGGAGGAAGGTGTGGCCCAGTGAGGCGTCCTCCGGTCCTAGTCAGGGTCTGCCCTGGGTGGGAGGGATTGCGGGACCCCTCTCCACTGGCTGTGACAGCCTAGGCTGATGAGCTTTGTCTAGCCAGATCGCCCCTTCGGTGAAGTCTGAAGCCCCGACATGCATGACAGTGGCAGCTGCCGTGTATGGGAAAGCATGAGCCAGGCCATCCTGGACTTAACACGTAAACGTGTTATCTCAGTACTCCTAGCAGCTGTATTAACGTGCTGGCCTCACATGCCACCCCCTTTCAGAGGTGAGGGGCCGAGGTCAGAGAAGCAGCTTGCTGGAGGCCCTGGAGGGCAAGGGGGCACAGCCTAGATTTGGACCTAGATCCCCGATTCTCAATCCCAGCGGTTAGCCTGTGTGCTGACCCGGCATCCTGTGATAAGAATTTCCCTTCATAGGTGTAGCCGGCCACCAGCCCTGTTGATTACCTTAGCTCACTGCTGCCTCGTCTCCAGCCGGAAGATCCGCTTACCCAGAGCTAAGTCTCAAGCTTCTCAGCATCCCTGAGCTTGACCCAAGTTGCCTGAAGATCCTCACCTACCTGTTACCCCAGATTTTCGAATACTGGCTGCCTCCCTTTGCTTGAGATGGGAAAGGATGCCCTCTGCCCAGCATCTGAAGAAAGGGCATGAAGAAATAAGTGAGCCCTGGATGGCCCATGTGTGGCACCAAGCCTGCCGGGCCTGTGGTGCCAGGGCTACAAGGGCATGGCAGAACACCCCCAGTGTGCCCACACACAGTGGCAAGCCAGCCCCCAGGACACTGAGGCTGTCTCTCCCATCTGTAACCCATCCTTCCTGGCAATGCAGAGGGGCAGTCTGGCTTTTTCCTTGGCTTTTGAGGTTGGTATATGCTTGATGTTGGCAGCAGACAGGACACCCCAGCACAATGAGCCACAGCAATCCAGACCTTCTAGCCCCCAAGTGTACCTCAGAGCGGAAGCTCCACATTTGATTTTTTTTTGGCTCCATATTAAAGAACAAAGCATAGGAACTGGACAGGCCCCTCTGTAAACAGAAAACACATGTTTTCTAAGAGAATGGGCCCTTCCTTTCCTTGTTTCATCTCCCATGGACAGAGGCCTCCTTAGGCTTGCTGACTTCAAGACCAGGGAGGCTGTGGACCAAGGGCTGAGCGGAGGTGATTCTTCTTTGCTCAACTCAGGGGCTGACACTCACCTTTTGAAAGGGGGCAAGGACAAGTGTTAGTGGTCTGCTCAGCAGTGGGGTGTGGTCTGAGGAGGAAGGTTCCTCAGGGACCTGAACAGGAAGTGGGGGGCCTGGACCATTTGTCTCTTCTGAGCACACAAGAATCATTTAGGGTTGGCCGGGCGCGGTGGCTCATGCCTATAATCCCAGCACTTTGGGAGGCCGAGGCGAGTGGATAACGCAGTCAAGAGATCGAGACCATCCTGGTCAACATGGTGAAACCCCGTCTCTACTAAAAATACAAAAAAAAAAAAAAAAAAAATAGCTGGGCATGGTGGCGCGTGCCTGTAATCCCAGCTACTCAGGAGGCTGAGGCAGGAGAATTGCCTGAACCAAGAGGCAGAGGTTGCGGTGAGCTGAGATCACGCCATCGCACTCCAGCCTGTGTAACAAGAGCGAAACTCCGTCTCAAAAAATAATAATAATAATTTAGGGTTCTCCCCGAGTTAAGATGAACATGTGTTCTTTGGAGCCTGCTAGCCACAACCAGGCAGAGACCTCTAACTCAGAAGAGAAGCCTGATGTCTGCAAAGAACAGGCATTCTGGGACTGAGTACCCACTGCTGTGTGGCCTTGGGCAAGTTTCTTAACCTCTCTGGGCCTCATGTTTCTCGTCTGTAGAAGTGGGATAACAATAGTTTAGGATTAAATGAGATCATGGGAATAGCCCCATCAGACACATAATTAGAAGCTAGTTAATAAGTGAGCAAAATCAAACATTGTCTCAGTTTCAATGCTGAGCTGTTGTTTTAGAGTGGCCCAAGAATCGCCTACAGACACCCAGGGTCCCTGTACTCCAAGGAGCACCTCCTCTCCCCCTGCCTTCTGTTGGGCACAGCCACTCACAGACTGGCTATGACACCTCTTTGGAAGCAGCCATCTTGGGGACAGATCATTCCTTTGAATCCTCCCAGCTGCCTAAACTTTGTCCTATAGGGGAGATTTGATTTTGAGAAATAATCAGACATCCTTTAAGACAAGTCTGCTGAATGGATGCTCAGAAGCCAAGCCAGGGCCTCCTGTCCAGCGCCAGCTTGTGCCACGACTGTAAAGTCAGTAGCCACGGCTTCCTGCTCCAAAGGCACTATAGAGCCACAAATGGATCACTGTCACTGGTGTTGGGGTGTGTGTGTGTATGTCTGAAAACAGAGAGATTCACACACACCCGTGAGCTCAGTGGAGGAAGCAAACCAAAGCCTGAGTAGTTAACACGAGGCTGCCTTTCGTCTCTCAGCCCACAACTTGATTTTCATGGAAATTTCTCTGCATGGGAAAATGACAAGCATTTCTGATACAGGCAAGTATGAGAGTACGGCAGCATGCTGTCCTGGCATGCTGGGGTTTAGAGGCGGGTCCCCCAGCCTGCTCCTCACCAGCTATGTGGCCTCTGGCCCCTTTCTTCATCCCCTAGCCCTTGGTTTCCCCATCTCAGGTCCTGCAGGGGGGAAACACACAGGCCATGCCCATACGCGTGGGCATTCACAGCATCTGCTGGTCACATTGCTCATTAAAACACTGTAAAAATTAATTGGCATTCACAAAGTTCTAGTCACAATAGCAAACTTTTTTTTTTTTGAGACGGAGTTTCGCTCTTGTTACCCAGGCTGGAGTGCAATGGTGCGATCTCGGCTCACCGCAACCTCCGCCTCCCGGGTTCAGGCAATTCTCCTGCCTCAGCCTCCCGAGTAGCTGGGATTACAGGCACGCGCCACCATGCCCAGCTAATTTTTTGTATTTTTAGTAGAGACAGGGTTTCACCATGTTGACCAGGATGGTCTCGATCTCTCAACCTCGTGATCCACCCGCCTCGGCCTCCCAAAGTGCTGGGATTACAGGCGTGAGCCACCGCGCCCGGCCACATTTTTTAAAATCAGAAACAGGCCAGGCACAGTAGCTCATGCCTGTAATTCCAGCACTTTGGGAGGCCGAGGTGGGTCACTTGAGCCTGGGAGACAGAGGTTACGGTTAGCCAAGACTGTGCCACTGGACTCCAGCCTGGGCGACAGTGAGACCGTGACTCAAAAAAAAAAAAAATTCAATTGTCCATCAGTAGATAAATAGGTAAACAAACATCAATAGGCATATGATAAAATATTCCAATGCAGTGAAAAGGAAGGAGCTATTGATAGACTCAGCAATGTAGACACACGTCAGGATCCCAAGGAAGAGTTCATACTCCACGAGTTTTAACGTTTTTTTTCAAATAAATTAAAAGTGATCTACAGTGATAGGATTCGGGTTAGTGGCTGCCAGGGAGTCAGAGATTGCCTGCAAGGGGCCCCAGGGAACCTGTGGTGATGGCTGTTTGCTTTCTCGATCTTGGTGGTAATAGGAATAACGCCTGCATACATTTGTCAAAACTCATTGAACAGTAGAGGTGAGAGGGATTCTGCCACATGGAACTTTTACCTCAATAAGGTTGATTTCAAAAATTAACTGGTATTTATATTTTATGTTTCAAATCTTGTAGAGAATAATAATGACATAAAATGCTCACAACCTGTTCAACAAGAAGTGTAAAATAACGTACAGCGTGATATAATCATGAATGTATGTTTGCGTTATAACATGGTATGGTCCATTCACATAGGTGCGAACAGGAATATGCACGTGCACATAGACACACGCAGTTTGGAAAACGTAGTGGAAGGACTTTCCCCCAAATGCACTCGGTAATTACATAATCACCTCATGGGGAATTGTTTTCTTTTAATTTTTTAATTCTAAATACGTTTATCCTCTTACTAGTTCTTTTTTGGACTTTCCTGTAATGAGCACTTTTGTGTGTGGAAGAGGAGTCTCTTTTGCTTGCCATATTCTTATTAATTTTATTGTTAATTGACTAATAATTGTATATGCTTATGAGGTTTAATCTGTTATATACATAACACTTTTTATAAACAGAAGCAAACAAAGCTCTTCCTTTTTAGTTGTAGCAGGCCACAGACATGGGGCTGGGCTCCAGGGCACGGTGTTGAGGACAGCCTGGTTCCCGCGAAAGGCAACCCCCTGGCAACGCTGGAGCAGATGGAGAGAGAGTGAGGGGGTGTGGCTTGCTCCCCAAGTTCTTTGGCTCAGCTTCAGTGCTAGGTCATTCTTAGGGACTGCTGTGCCCACTGGGCACTGCAGAACTTCTGGTGCTCATGGCGAAGGGCAGCCGGGAGGAGCCCTGTACCCAGGCCAGACCTTCCTGTTTGGAGTACTGGGACCCCGTGGCCGCGTAAACCTTTCCTGAAGCTTCTGGGCCCCAAGGGGTTGAATCCAGTGTGGTCTGGGGAGTCATGGACCATGCCTCCTGCATGCATCCTCCATTCCAGGTTCCTGTGTGTGCCGTGGGCCCATCCACCTGTCTGGGCTTGGCTACGCTGTGACCTTCTCTGAGGACAGGGCCCTGCCTGCATTTGGAGCTGCCGGGACCTCAGTGTCACCCCCCACTCTCGCCAGCTGGCCTCACAAAGGTGCCCAGGAGGAGACCTGATTGCCGGCTCCTTTCCCCTCCCTGGCTGAGCAGATTCTACGACAGCCTGTGGAAGTTAAAATAAGAGCCTAAAACTGTCAAAAAAAATTTTTTTAAACCAAGTCACAAATGGGAAAGCTGAGGCAGCAGCAGGTTAAGGACACTTTGTGATGTAGTGTTCTCTCCCAGTGCCTTCATGCCATAAACTTCACAGTCCACGGTCCCTGCACACAGGCAGCCACGGAGACTGGGTTTAGACTTGCAGGTGAACGCTGCATTGGAAGTATGGCAGGCTCAGAACTGTTCCATCACATGGGGGGTCATTAGCTCTGCTCACTTTTGTGAGGCCTCACTAGTGTTTCCCCTTAAAAATAAGTCAAGGTAAAAGAAAAAGTTTTTAAAATATAACAGTTGTGTATCTGTTTCTCTAATTGTAAAGAAATACACTGTCATGTGATGGGCTGGAGTCTCTGGAGCAGCAGCCGAGGAGGGAATGTTTTCTTTCCTTGTTTTAACAGTGTGTATTGCTTTTATAATGGGAAGAAATAAAATATAAGTACATTGAAGGTAATCAAGCGGCACCTGAGCCTACATGTCAAATGATAAATGTGACAATCAAGGGCACTATTTATCGAATTCTTGGTTTGTACCACATCTCCAGCTAGGCTCTTCCGATGGCTCCTCAGAACACCCTGCAGGTGGGAGCTAGCACAGGGTCCCTGAGGCAGCACTCGGCAGAGCTAGGGATGGACAGGGATTGTGCTGTGCTCATAACGACTTCCTGCCTTTGTTTTTAAGACAAGGTGGCCTCAGCCTCCCAAGCTTGAGCAATCCTCCCACCTCAGCCTCTGGAGGAGCTGGGAGTGACAGGTGTACACCACCGTACCTGGCTAATTTTTGTATATTTTGCAGAGACAAGGTTTCACCGTGTTGCCCAGGCTGGTTTGGAATTCCTGGGCTCAAGCAATCCACCAGCCTTGGCCTCCCCAAGTGCTGGGATTACAGGCGTGAGCCACAACACCCGGCCCCATCTCTTAAAGGTGAACATTTTCCCTGAATACAATGATCTTCAGTTAAAATATTTGTATCAGGCCGGGCGCGGTGGCTCAAGCCTGTAATCCCAGGACTCTGGGAGGCTGAGGCGGGTGGATCACGAGGTCAAGAGATCAAGACCATCCTGGTCAACATGGTAAAACCCCATCTCTACTAAAAATACAAAGATTAGCTGGGCATGGTGGCACGTGCCTGTAGTCAGGCACTCCTACTCAGGAGGCTGAGGCAGGAGAATTGCCTGAACCCAGAAGGCGGAGGGTGCAGTGAGCCGAGATCGTGCCATTGCACTCCAGCCCGGGTAACAAGCAAAACTCCGTCTCAAAAAATAAAAAAATAAAATAAAATATTTGTATCTTATTTACATAGAATCTGAAATTATTTCTGTGGTAAAAGAAATAATAAAATCCTAGATTTTTACCTTTTTATTTATGCAGCAGTTGACCAACAGCCGAAGTCGGGATCAGTGATGTGACTCTCGGAGCCTGGGACAAAATGAAAACGTGGGTTCCCTTGATCAGGAATGACTCAGAATTTTAAGATCAGGGACAAGCATTGAGTGTGGGCCCTTCCGCACAGGGGGCCTCTGCCGTTGGGCAGGCCACACGCCCACAAAGCCCTGGTATGATAGGACTAGGGCGACAGCTTCCTTTGGGACACACTCTAATCACCAGTGACCACTAGTCAGAAAACAAATGAGCTCAAACTTCAGGAAGATGAGCCATTCCCAGTGCATTTTCCAATCCTAAAAATAGTGGTCGCAGCTCAGGAATGGAGTTCCAATGAGGACGCAGTGGGAGACAGTCAGGCTTCCCTTCCCAGGAAAGGGCCAGGGCCTGCATAGGAGCTTTCACTACGAACCGGGAGGCTGCCGAGTCTCTTGAAATGTCAGCATGCTGGGAGGCTGAGGCAGGAGAATAGCTTGAACCCGGGAGGTGGAGGTTGCAATGAGCCAAGATCGCGCCACTGTGCTCAGCTAGGCAACAGAGCGAGACTCTGTCTCAAAAAAAAAAAAAAAAGAACAAGAAAAAGAAACGTCAACACCTGGCCCACACCCTAATGGAGCTTCAGTCACTGTGCTGTGGAGCAGGCGAGGCTGACCGTAGGCCTTGGGGAGATTGCAGACCACTGACGCCAAAGCTTGTTACTGTGAAAACACCGTAAGAAACTTCAGTTACTACTACTGTGTACCCACAAACATTTTGAAAAAGATTTAGTATGAAAAAGTAAAATTATCTCACTAATCCTTATCTTGATCATATTGAACTGATCATATTTTGGATATATTGGTTTAAATAAAATATATATTAAAAATGTTTTCCCCTCACCCCCTCCTCAAATTTTTTTTAAAGGAAAAGGAAAACATTCATCTTACTGCCTGTGGAAAAGGATCTTGGGGTTCTCTGGCAGGTTACTTTCCCACTAAGGAGGTCCCCTGTGAATGCTGGAAGCGACCATCAGCTGACAATCATCTGCAACTCCAGAAACAAGGGCTCCACACGCTACCCCAGCCAGCGCCCGCCAGCCCACCTCCACCATCTCTATGTCCTCAGCCCCACGTCAGGTTCTGGAAGGTTCCAGGGGGAGTGGGCAGTACTCTCAGGGGCTCTTGGGGCTGAGGCCTCTTTCTTGAATCACGTGTGGAAGCCGGAACCAACCTCGGCGAGGATGGCGTCTGAGAAGCCCTTTGAGGGGAGAATATCCACTTAAGAGAGAGCTTCTCCACCGGTTCGGGGCACCGCACACATTTGTGGGACAAAAGACAAACATTCTTCCCACCCCAGTCCCCAACCGGGCTCCCATAGCCTCTTCATTTTTCTTTAAAATAGAAGAAAAAAAAAATCCCCATTCTCCTCAGCCTGCAAGGGCGCTCTGGAGGAGCTGGCCTGGCCCCGAGTGTCTTCTCCATAAACACGTCTAGTGTGGAAGGACAGACACACGGAGGCCTCAGGCCCAGCTGGCAGCCGGAAGTTCTGTGCCTCCCAGTGCCTGCAGGACCCTTGCAGTCTCTAGGGATGATGCTTGGCCACCTTTGCAGATTCCTAGACCTGGGGGCTACTCAGTTGCCTCCCCCAGCCCAGGTGTGTCCTCAGAATCCTGGCCTGGGAGGTTTGAAGCCAGGTAGGGAGAAGAGGGTAGAAAACGGTGGTGCCAGGGAGCTGGGCTGTGGGAGCCGGGTCAGGCCAGTGGATCATCCCCTAAGGTGGAGAACTAACTGCGGGCTGAAGGCAGGGTAGATCTGGGCCCAGGACACAGCATGGAACCCCTTCTCCTGGAGCACCAGGGGTCACAAGAGTCCCTCCGCTCTAGGGATCATGGGCGACCGACAGCCTGGTGCTTCGGGTAGAGACAAAGACAGCGTGTTCCTCCAAGCCCCTGCCTGCTGCTCCCTCACTGGGGACATGGGCTGCGTGCCAGCAACCTTTTGGGAAGCATCTCGTGCCCACCCTCACCACCCCGCAAAAAAACCTTTCTCCAAAACACTTGGCAGTGGGCTTAAAACACTCAGGTGCCGAGGACTCGCGCAGAGATGAGCCCAGCAGGACTGGGGCGTGGGGCTTGCTTGTTTACCTCTTAAGAAAAAAAACACAACGAAAAAAGCGCCTGGGTAGAATTGGAAGTTCTGGGGCTCTGCGCCGCGGCCTCCGCGCGGGTCTCTTCCTCCCCTGCCCGGCCTGCTTTTTCTCCTTCTTTCCCTCTTTGTTGCCAACCTCAGAGCCGCGGCTGAAACCCAGCCCAGCGTCCGCGGAGCCCGGAAACTTCCAGCTCCGCGACTGTGCAGAAAGTTGGGGGGCGCGGCCGGGGTGACAGCAGCGCCTCGGGGGCGGCCACGGCGGCCACCTGGGACCTCAGCCTCCCGCGCCTCCCGCTGCCCCCGGCCGCGCCCCGGGGACCTCGGGCAGCCCGCGGGCCGGACGTGAACTTGACCCAGCGCTGCGCCCGCCTGGACCGCGCTCGGCGCGCTCGGGACGATCTGGTAAGCGCTGCCCCTCCCGCCCTCGCCCGGCGGCGCTGGGGTCCGGGTCGGGGTCCGAGCTCGACCGCGAGGGCGTGCCCCGGGGTGGCGGGCGCCAGGTCGCCTCGGCCACTGCACCGGAGCGCACGGCTGAGCCCGCGGCCCGGCCTGGCGAAGTCACCCCCGGGCCTCCCAAACAAAGACTCGGAAAGTTCGGAAGGGAATCTTTCCCGACATTTTCCCTCCCCTCGGGCTCAGGGCTGAGGCCGTCAGGGCTCTTAAAAGGGAAAGGAGAGCTCTCTGGTTTTCTCCTGGTGTTTTCTTCCCTGGGCTTTGCTCCCCACCTTTGGTTGGAGAGGTGGAGGGGCCTTGGATGACCCTCTGAGGCCAGGCCGCCCAGGGGCAGCACAGGAGGTGAGGGCCTGTGGGATGAGGGACCCCCTACAGCACAGGGAGGCAGGCCCCTGGCCGCTGCAATGCTTGCTTCCTGGGGCTCAAGTGAAAGCTGCTCCTGATCCCCCCCCCAGGCACCATCCTGAGTGGCTTCCCTTGGTTGTCCTGAGTGACCCTCCTGAGCAAGACCCCCTGGCCACTAATTGCCATGTCGGCTCTGCTTGGGGCAGCTACAGTGCCAAGTGAGCCTGGCTGGTGCTGGGGCACAGGACAGCCATGGACAGGACCCAGGGAAGAAGAGAAGCTGGAACCCTGCAGGGCCTGTGCCTTAGGGAGCAGGTGGGGGACCCTGCTGCCTCCCCCATTCCTGCCTGCAACAGGCTGGGCCCACACCTCCAGTCAGCTTCTCTGTATGCCCCTCTCGCTGCCTGAGACAAGGCCTCTGTCCCTGTGAGTGGTCTGATCTGGACACTCACGGGGTAGAAACCTACCCTACCCATGGGTGGTTGCAAAGCCCTGGGAGCTCCCAGAGCTGTCCTGGGCCTGGGCCTCCACAAGCCTCCCAGTTTGATCCCAGGTCTTGATCCCAGCGGTGGCCAGGTCCCCAGCATTCAAGAGACCATTGCTAACTTGGCTCCATCCCCGGGTGCCTATGCTCCCAGGGTCCCCCCTAGGGGAGCACCCAAGCCGAGAGGGCTGGGCGGCCAGAGTCTGAGGGGTCACCCCATCATGTCCCTGGACTCTGCGGCAGGGCTGTCACAGGGCAGCCTACAGGCATCGTTTGAGGCACAGAGAGGGTTTGTAGTGACGGCAGGGGGAGTGCCCAGTGGGTCTAGCCTCTTGCTGCCATGAGGGTAAGGGCTGGGACTGGCAGAGCTTCTGACTTCAGAAGAAATTCACATTTGTACATGAAATGTCCAAAATTTGAACACATAATGGGACAGAGGAAACACTCTCAGATTGAACCCAATCAATGCCCCCCCAAACCCCGAGGTTGCAACCCCTGTGTACACATGAACTGGCTAGTGTTCAAAGGAAGGCAGATTTCTTAGTGACCCTGGCCCCAGCCCAAGATTTGAGCAGGAGGCCCCATGGATCTGGGGAGCAGGGAGGGAGGAGAGTTTGTTTCTCGAGAACCCAGCACCACAGGGAGGGGCAACCTCCACAGGCATGAGCTGTCCAGGTAACTAGCACTTGCTTCAGCCCATTTGAAGTTAAAAATCTGCCTAAAATGAGGAACCTGACCTGCCCCATCCCCAAACCCTCTGGGGGAGTTTCTATGTCCATTCATTCAGGGAATAATAAAGGAAAGACAGGAAGCAGGTCGGGCCCGGTGGCTCACGCCTGTAATCCCAGCACTTTGGGAGGCCGAGGCGGGTGGATCATGAGGTCAAGAGATCGAGACCATCCTGGTCAACATGGTGAAACCCCGTCTCTACTAAAAATACAAAAAATTAGCTGGGCACGGTGGCGCGTGCCTGTAATCCCAGCTACTCAGGAGGCTGAGGCAGGAGAATTGCCTGAACCCAGGAGGCGGAGGTTGCGGTGAGCCGAGATCGAGCCATTGCACTCCAGCCTGGGTAACAAGAGCGAAACTCCGTCTGAAAAAAAAAAAAGAGGATGCAGAAAGTGAACCTGAGTTTGAAACTTTGATGTCCCGGGTGGTAGAGTGCAGGACACCGCCAGCCTGGGCTTCCAGGGCGGCTCTGCACTGAGGCAGGCCTGCCTTCCCCTGCCAGTACCTCTGGCTGGGTAGCCTCACCTCTCTGGGCCTCAGTTTCCTCACTCATAAAAGGGGCTTAATAAGACTTCTGCTGGCCAGGCGTGGTGGCTCATGCCTATAATACCAGCACTTTGGGAGGCTGAGGTGGACAGATCACGAGGTCAGAAGTTCAAGACCAGCCTGGCCAACATGGTGAAACCCCATCTCTACTAAAAATACAAAAATTAGCCAGGTGTGGTGGCGCACACCTGTAGTCCCAGCTACTCAGGAAGCTAAGGCTTCCTGAGGCAGAAGAATTGTTTGAACCTGGGAGGCAGAGGTTGCAGTGAGCTGAGAACATGCCATTGCACTCCAGCCTGGGCGACAGAGCAAGACTCTGTCTCAAAAAAAAAAAAGAGTTCTGCCTCAGTTACATTGTTAGGAGAATGGTGACAATCCCTGTGACACCCAGCACTCCGCTAGCACACAGCAGGCACTCAGTGGCTGGCTCCAGGAGGCCTGTGGCTGCTGGCTTCTCTCATACCTCACCTGCTTCTGGGCAGCTTAGGAATTTCTCTCTGGAATCTCATGTCAATTTTGCATCACTTGCCTCACCCCACCTTCTGGTGTTTGTTCCTTTACCCTGAAGGAAATAGTCACTGAGGCCTCCTGCTGAGAGGGCTGGGCAGTCAGAGTCTGAGTTGGTCAGACCTATACTCCTGTATGGAGTACAGAGCGCAGACAGGTGAGACGACATGGCCCTGCCTTAGGAGCTGCCAGATGCCCTGTGCAATGACATCCTCAGGTCAGGTTCTCTAGGCTAATGCCAGGGAAGGTGTTTCCTGTGCAGCCTTTGTTGAATGCCTCCGGAGACAGGCAGCTCACCACCTATCTGGTAGTGTGGCCACAGAAGCTGTGGAACAGAGTCACCCAGGCACCTTTGAGCCTTAACTGGTAGAAACACATGTGGGGCCGGCCCATAGGCGGTGGCCCTGAGTCAGAGGCACCTGGTTTTGCTGGAGAAAACACGTACCTTGTAAGAAACTTCTGAAAATGCGGTGAGGTGTACAGAAAGAGTTCAGTCTCCAGAAAAAGCGCTGCGAATGATGGATGCGTGTTTTCACAGAACAGAGCCCTGTTTCCTCTTTTTGCCGACAGCCCATTTAGCAATGCCAGGGCTGTGCTGGTGACCCCACCCACCTCCTAACAAGGCAGCCACTGTCCCAGGGGACAGCCAATATAGGCTTTGATTTGCCAAGGTTAGTGTCCTTGGGACCCTAATTTTGGAAAACCAGGAAAAAATATAAGGAGTCACTGCATGGAAAAGAAACCTACCCCAGAAAGCTGGCTGCTGCATTCAGGAAGCAGGAGCGGAAGGTCAAGGTGTTCGGGCCCAGGGCGCCTTGCCAGGGTCGGCAGCAGAGTTTGCAGGGTCCAGGGCAAGATGGAAATGTGGTGCCCTGGTTTGAAAATGCCTGAGAATTACAAGATGGTGTTGGTGGTAAGCATTAGACAGCTTGGGACCCTTCTGAGTGCAGGGCCTTTCTAAGCTCAGTGACCGGTGTGGTGGTATGTATGGGTCGCAAACCCACAAAGCTGGCCCTCTCCCTCACGTGTGTTCGTGACGCATCCTGACGCCTGGGGAAGGACCAAAGGCATCTGCACTGAAGGAGTACAACTCCTCGTCTTTGGCATTCATTTTTTATTTTTGGTGCCATCATGGATGTTCCATGCTAACTTTAGAACATTTTGAGTCCTCACAAAAGAAACACATTTTTCAATCACCTGTGACACCACACTCAGAGATAGGCACTGGGAAGGCCTCACCCTGCTTTTGTCAAAACATTTTTTTTTTTAAAGATGGAGTCTTGTTCTGTCACCAAGGCTGGAGTGCAGTGGCGCGATCTCGGCTCACTACAACCTCCACTTCCCTCACTCAGGCGATTGTCCTGCCTCAGCCTCCTGAGTAGCTGGGACTACAGTTGCACACCACCATGCCTGGCTAATTTTTGTATTTTTAGTAAAAGTGGGGTTTCACCGTATTGGCCAGGCTGGTCTCGAACTCCTGACGTTAGGTGATCCACCCGCCTCGGCTTTCCACGGTGCTGGGATTATAGACGTGAGCCACCACGCCCAGCCTGTCAAAACATATTTTAAGGCCAGGCGCGGTGGCTCACGCCTGTAATCCCAGCACTTTGGGAGGCCGAGGTGGGTGAATCACGAGGTCAAGAGATCAAGACCATCCTGGTCAACATGGTGAAACCCCATCTCTACTAAAAAAAAATACAAAAAATTAGCTGGGCACGGTGGTGCGTGCCTGTAGACCCAGCTACTCAGGAGACTGAGGCAGGAGAATTGCCTGAACCCGGGAGGCGGAGGTTGTGGTGAGCCGAGATCCTGCCATTGCACTCCAGCCTGGGTAACAAGAGCAAAACTCCGTCTCAAAAAAAAAAAAAAAAAAAACATATTTTAAGCAAAATTAGCATCTTATTAGGTGTATCATTTTATCTTCTGCTTGTTTCATTAATATTTTATCATGATATTTTCCTAAGTCAGAAGATGCTGTCCTACCAGTGGACTTTGATGACTATTTGGGATCCCGGTGGACAGATGTCCTAAACTAACCCCTAATTATCAGGCACTTGAGTTCTTCCCAGTTATTTCCAATTTTCCCCATTAACGATAACGCTTCCAGGAACGTTTGTCTGCATTTCCCTGATTACTTCGGGGGGGGGGGGCGTGAAAGCATGCTTTAGCAGTAGAGCTCCCAGTTAGGTCGTTAGGGGTGACATTTTGGCTCCAGCAGCCTCTTGGGGTGGTCTCTGAAAAACCACCTTGCCCAAGTGCCTCAGCCCCCACGCCTTGTGCAGTGATACCTCAGCCCCCACATTTGACTTTCATTTTAAGAGAAAAACGCAACTCTTCCCACGGCTGACTTGACTGGTAGCAAAGCCAAAGACTTGAAATCAGTCTTTGTTTTTTGAGATGGAGTTTCACTCTTGTTGCCCAGGCTGGAGTGCATTGGCGCGATCTTGGCTCACAGCAACCTCTGCCTCCCAGATTCAAGCGATCTCCTGCCTCGGCCTCCTGAGTAGCTAGGATTACAGGCGTGTGCCACCATGCCTGGCTAATTTTTTATTTTTTAGTGGAGACAGGGTTTCTCCATGTTGGTCAGGCTGGTCTCGAACTCCCGCTTTCAGATGATCTGCCCGCCTCGGCCTCCCGGAATGCTGGGATTACAGGTGTGAGCCACCTCGCCTGGCCTTGAAGCCAGTCTTGAGCACCGATGGCCTGCCCTGTTTATAGCCATCTGTGAGGTGCTACCTTCTGTCCCCCCATACAGACGAGGACTGGGGACCCTTATTGTGAGGAGGACACACTAGTGACTATGAAGCAGAAAAGACCCTTTGTCCTGCCAAACCGTGGGCAGGATTCGGGGGTCCCGTGTGGCTGCTCAGGTGGCCGGACCGCTGAGCCTGTCAGGCCGGGGCTGGGAGGAGGATGCTAGCCTGGTGCCTGCTCACAGGGGGCACTCAACAAACAGTGGCAGGAGGAGAGGGCGGGGCAGCAGGAGGAGGGAGGCTCTGCCGGGCGTCTCCCAGATGGCGAAGGCTCCTGAGGGCAGGGATCAGATCTGTGGCCCCCGTACCAGCCCAGCGCAGGAGAGCAAGGCGTGTGAACCCTTTGATGAGGTCTGTGCCCGCACTGTCCTTTAGCCCGCACAGGGCTAAAATCCAGGTGGTGGCAGAGATGGTTCCTCCTGGAACTCCGGGGGAAAATCCATCCCTGGCCTTTTCCGGCCTCCAGCGGCACCTGCTCGCCTTGGCTTCTCGTCCTTTCTTCTGTCTTTAAAGCCAGAGCATTCTGTCTCTGACCACGGCTGGAAAGGAGTCTGCTTTTAAGGCTCCGTGTGATTGGATTGGGTGCACCTGACAATCCAGGCTGCCCTCCCACTGCAGATCTTTCACTCAGTTTCACCCGCAAAGTCCCTTTGGTCTGGTGAGGTAGCACCTTCCCAGGTTGCAGGGATTAGGGCTTGGACATCTTGGGGACATTATTCTGCCCAGCAAAGATGGTATCAGGGAGTCTGAGCATCTGAACTTCTCCAGGGAACTGAAGAAATGCCTCCTTCCCTCTTTCTCCCCTTCAGTAGCTGTGAGTCCAGAATAGCGGCCATCTACAAGGTCACACCTGGAAGGATCTGGGGAAACTGAGGCCACAGAAGCCTTGCCTGGGACCCCAGGCCAGGCCCTGTGTTGTCCTCCACAGATGGCCCTTCCGCACCTGTGATGCGCTGCCTCGGGGGTGGAAGCGTTTTAGCCTGGAAGGACACCAGCTTGAGGACTGTAGAGTTCTGGGCCTAGGAGAAAGGGAGGGATGTGGGGAATGTCACCTATTGGGTGGCTTCCCCACACTCGAGGCCACTTTATGGAGGTTACCTTTTCATCCCCCCAAGCCCAGTGGGAAGTGAAGATTTCTTTCCTCATCTCATAGGTAAGGAAGCTGGGGCCCTCAAAGGGGCTGTGTTTTGTCCGTGGAGAAGAGTCCGCTCCTCCCAAGAAGCCTTCGGCTGGTGGAAACCCAGGTGTGAACGGGCTGTTGCATGAGCAGGAGGGTGGGTGTGTGGCAATGTCAGTGTGGCCCCCGCAGAGCCCGGGGCACAGGCCAGTGCATCCACTGACAGGCAGCCAAGAAGGCCTGCACTCATACCTCTGCTGGTAAAGCTGTCGCAACAGACTCAGAGAAGCGCGTCAGTTTTCCCAGAGACACACAGCTCTCTGGAGGAGTGCAGGCCTCTTAGCTCCATTGCCTGGTGCTATGCATTCCTTGCCCACGGGCTGGAGGGAACAGAGTTCCCCGGGGTTTGATCTGAGGGGTGGTTTGTGAGGGGGACTGTGCCACCCATTGTGGAGCATGCTTAGCTGCCTCTCTGTAACACATTTTTGCCTGATGAGAATTCTCTCCCTTGACCAGGGCCAGCACAGTGCATAGTAGGGTGGTTAAGAGCCCTGGGTTTGGGCTGAGCGTGGTAGCTCATACCTGTAATCCCAGCACACTGGGAGGGCAAGGCAGTAAGGTTGCGTGAACCCAGGAGTTTGAGGCCAAGCTGAGCAAAGGTAAACACACACACACACACAATACAAAAATCAGCCTGGCATGGTGGCCCACGCCTGCAGTCCCAGCTACTTGGGTGGCTGAGGCAGGAGGATAACTTGAGCCTGGGAGGTCGAGGCTGCAGTGAGCCGTGATCACACTACTGCACTCCAGCTGGGGCAACAGAGTGAGACCCTGTCTCAAAAAAAAGCAAAGCAAAGCTTTAGGATGGAAGTTGGGGTGCTCAGACTTTAAATCCCAGGCCCCCCACTTTGGTGTGATCTCGGGCATGCTCCTCTGACCTCTCTGTGCCTGACTTTCCCCAGCCACAAAGCGGGCTGATAATAATACCACCCAGACCCCAGAGGCCCCCTAGGAGGCTCTTGCTGGGCAGCTGGTCCTGCCCCAGAGCCCTCCTGCTCCACACACTCCCACATACACTCAAGGGCACACGGGCCCCCCACAACCAAGCCAGGCCTGGTGGCCCTAGGACACTCTTGGCCACAAGAATTCAGATTATTTTCTCAGCAAATTTCTGACCTCTGTCCTGGGGCCTCGGCAGGGCAGGGCTGCATGGTCCTGGGGATCTGACTGAAACCTCAGCCCCCCCACAAGGACAACGGGGCTGGGAACGAACTCAGGCAGTTTCTCTGCCAACCAGGAGAGGCTTCTGCTTGCCTGGACCCCATGGGGCAGGAAGAGTGGGCGTTCATATCATTCCCATTTTGCAGCTAGGCAGACTGAGGCCCAGAGAGGCCAGATAACTTGCCTCAGGCCACACAGTTGGCAAAGGATAAAGCCAAACCTTGATGGCGAGACTCTAAATCCAGGGCTCCACGAGGCCACCTCTTGTCTTAGGAATATAAGTGCCTTCCCTGGCACTTACTTAGCCCAGAATCTTTCTAGAAGGGCGGCAGGCCTTCCTGCCCCATTCCCGGGACGGGCCAGCTGCTCTCAGGGCCAGAAGAACCAGGGAACAGCTCTTTGGAGGAGGGGGCTTGTGAGAGTTTGAGGGGGCAGCACTGCAACTTGCACGTGGCAGGGGCGTGGGGTCAGGGCCTAGGTGTGTCCCTTTCCCAGCACTGGCATGGCACATTCTGACCTGAGCAAGCTTGAGCTTCCTGGAATAAGAACTGGAGGAAGAGAACCTTCCCCGGGCGGCATGTGAGGCTGGGGTGGCACTCGACACAGGACGGTGGCCAAGGGCATGCCCCCCTCCAGGCCAAGGGTCTCGGGAGCCTCCCCTCCTGCTCCTGCTGTGGCCTCCCCCTCAGCCCTGGCATGGGAGGAGTTAAGCTGCCTCGGGCACCTTGGCACATTGCGCTGTCCAGAGTGTCCGGCTCCCTACCCCCACTGCTTTTCTTCCTTTTTGCCTTTTTCCTTCTTAATTAATCATATGCTGCTGTCCGATTTAAATATGGAAATGCCCAGGCCGAGGCGATGCAATTATTCATGAGGGCCGGGCAGCGGTCCGGGGCTCTCGGGCTGTGGGGAGTACCGTGGCATCGCCTCCGTTCTGATGTGTGTGAAATTATGTGCACAAAAGGCGCCTCCTTATCTGGGTGTGTGAACTAAATAAATAAATAAGGGCTTTTGTTTGTTTGCCGGCTCCTGCACATGGCTGCTGGGACTCAAGCGCTCATGTTGTCTGCGCCTCTGTGGGACTCGGAGTCGGGAGGCAGGGGAGGCCCCTGCAGGCTGGCCAGGGGCTGGGGGCTGGGGGCCGACCGCCGGGCACCTGGGGCCCTCTCCCTCCCCTGGCACCACCCTCACCCTGCAGCCCCCCCCACCATACACACCCTCACTGGAAAGTTTGCCCTGCCTGGGCTGGGCTCCCAGGCAGCCTGGCACCATGCCAGGCTCGCCGCCGAGCTCGGGCAGCAGGGTGGGGCGAACGCAGAGCACAGAGGACGGGGCCCGGCGACCTGGGCACCAGCAGAATCTGAGGCCAGGGGCCAGGGGCCCAGAAGGTGAGGGCACCTTGGGTGGGCACAGGGTGGGCACTTGGTGGGCAACAGGCCAGCGGCCAGGCCCAGGAGCAGGCCTCATGGGTGCGGGGGGAGAGTGGAGGTTGGCAGAGGAGGCAGGCACAAAGGAGGGCAGTGCCAGGCAGCTGCGGCCGACACGGGCATCGCTGCCCGCCTGCCCCCAGCCGGCCTCCCCGCCGACTGGGGCTGGCTGGGGCTCCGAGGGGAGGATGCGTATGCAGGGGCCCGGGCAGGAGCAGCAGCAGGAGTGGCAGACACCAAGCCCGAGCCGTGGCCACAGGGCTCGGAGGAAGGGCCGGAGCAAGGCGGGGCTGGGCTGTCAAGGAGAAAAACATCCCAAGGCCTGCAAATTGCTGCTCTCAGCTTTTCCCCGGCCCCGCCCTGCTTCAGGGGGGAAAAAAAAGCAGCGCTTCCTCTGGAGGCGGATGCAAAAAGGATGCAGAATTTTAACCATCTCCTGCACCGGCCCATCCTTCCTGAGCAGGGTTTGGACCCGGGCCTGGCGCCTTGGCACCCTGAGAAGGGAAAGGCCAGAGCGGCCGACGCTGGTTCTGGGGGACCAGAAAGCCCAGCCTGCTCGGCACCTCCATCCAGAACCTGGGGCCCCGTGGCACCTGCATCAGGGTGGAGGATGGAAGGCAGTGGGGGCCTGGTGCCCTTGGAGGCTGCACCTCACGGTACCAGTCACTGCCCAGTCTGCTGGCCTCCTCTTGGTGTTAAGCATGGTGTCCCGGCCCCGGGTTGGAGGCCCCAGCCCTGTGCTGTGTGGGGTCTTGGTTCCTGCTGACCTGGGGCCTTCAGCCACACTGGCATCCCAGGCCTTCCTTCTGATTTCCGCTTTAAAAATAATGTGGGAGACGAGGGCTTCACACACTGTAGATTCAGGGCGGGACTTAGGGAATGAGCTCAGAAGGTGACTAATCACTGGGCAAACGGCAGGCAAGCCCTAAGTGCCCCTCGCTGGGCGAGACACGGGGCTCAGAGGGATGGTCTGGGCCGCCGCGCCAAGGCACAGAGCCTAGGACTCATGACATGCTTTCGTTTTAATTTCTTTTAAAATCAGAAGAAAAAAATGACTATAAAAATAATGAATATATGATAATGAATTCAACCTGGTTATATTGGTCTTTAAGCTGATGTAGTCGTAAAATATGATTTTTAGTATTAATAGAGAAAGGGGCTCAGGAAGCCAAAAGTGCCCCAGCCCAGGAAAGGCAGGAGTGTCCTGGGTTGGTCCTGTCTGTCCCAGGACAAAGGGTCAGACGTCTGGCTCCTGGGGAGGTTGGCGCACCTGGGTGCCCTTTGAATCTGGCTTCCACGAAGGCTAGATGGGACAGGTTGCTCCAGCCTGCGGTCGACGGGAGCCAGGGCTGTGTGTGTGTCCATGCGTGTCGGTGTAGGTGCATATCAGTGTGCAGGTGTCCTCGTGTGCACGCGAGTGTTTGACAAAGGACTCCCAGACACCAGCATGTGTAAGTCCCAATTCTCAAAACAGGGGACTGCAAGGCCAGGGTCAGGAGACAGTGTGGCTGTGAGGGCCTGGTATTCCTGACAATGATGCATGGGGAGTGCCATTGTCTCCCTAGGAGAAAGCAGCCTTCAAGGTTCCTGCACCCCCAAACCCACGAGCTCACACAAAACAACGTGAGCCACAGACGCGGGCCACGTCTGTAGTTTAGCATCTTCTAATAGCCACATTGTTGGAAAGTGAAAATAAGCAGGTGAGATTCCCGTTAGTACCAAAATTCATTGTAATCTAATACGCATTTCCCAAATCCGATTTCAATGTGTTGCTTAGGTGAAACTACGAACGGGGTATTCTGCCATTTTTTCACATTCGATTCGGCCTCTCCCCATGTCAAGGGCTCAGTTGCTGCATGTGGAGGAGGGGCTACCTGGGTGGGCATGCAGGTTTACCAGGTCCCTGTGCCCCCCACTTCCCCACCCAGAGTAGTGGAGACTGGTTTTCTGCGTCTTTTTTGCTGGTGGCCCTTCCTGGCTGGGGAGAGGGATGCTTCCACTGGTTCATCAGCCCCCAGCAACCCTGAGAGCTGAAAGAATGGGTGTTGGGGCTGCAGGTTCCAGAATGAGGGGGGCTGCTGGAAAGGCTTCTTCGGCTGTGCTCCCAGACACCAGGGGACGACACAAAGGGCTGACTTCAGACTCACAATAGTGGGGCGGTTAGTCACAGTGCCAGGGCAGCGGGCAGGCAGACAGAGCCCCCTGTGTCTGTGCCTGGTCGGGCTGGGCCCTGCAGCCCCCATTTCCCCAGCTGGCTTCCCACCCACCCCACCCCTGCCTGCTCCCCACATTAACCCCCTGCCGCCTGCTGCCTACCTGGCAGCCTGGCCGGGGCTCCCTTGGCCACGCTCTGGTTTCCACCAGCCACCCTGGCCAGAGGCGCACTCCTTCTAGAAGCCGGGCTCGGGCCTGCATGATTTCACGGGCCGTCTCGGGAAGCAGGCATTGGAAAAGCTCCGTCACTGTGGCCGGGCAGCGTCCACGCAGCCTGAGAGGAGATTTTCAGATTAGTGAGAGAACCCAGTGTTCAGGGCTCCCCACTTAAAGATTTCATCAGCGTTTGCAAGCACTCGCCATTCAAGGACTGTGCATTTCTGGAAACAATGAAAAGCCAAAACTGTGAGAAATTAAGGAGTGGCCCTGGAGCTGGTGTCTGGAGCTGCACATTTTAAAGTGAACAGACTGATATGAATATTTTAATCCTGTGTATAGATAGATGGATAAGATAAAATAAATTAGTCATGTTCTGGCACAGTCTGGAGACTCTCTGAAAGCAAGGCTCACGTCAGCATTTGCTGTTTAGAGGTTACAATTAAAATCTCTCCTTCTAGATGGAGATTCTAGAGCCTTGGAGATGGAATTCGATGTTTTGCTGTGATTTGGCATTCAGTTACTGACCCACGGGGAGGAGGGTGACTTCCCCTTAAAAGGTATAAAATGAAGTTCTCAGTCTCACTTTTTAACTAAAAAATATATATCTGCAAAGATCGTGCATTCTGCCTTTTCCTCGCTAAATTAAAGTGGCATGTGTTTTTATTTTAGAAGGCAGAGATGTTTTGCTGTGCCCAGTGTGAGGAAGGGAAGGAAAAGAAAGGTCTTTTGAAAATGTGCACATCTACTTACAGCTTAAAAATCCCAAGTGCCAGACGTTTTTCTTGGAGGAAATATATGTCTTCAATGTACTCATCTTACCTGTTGATTATATTCTGTAATGATTTATTTTAGAATGTAATCCTTGTCTAGAACTGAGGCTGTGTTTGGAAGGCGGAAGACGTAGTTCTCTTTGTCCAGGCGACATTGTGCCTCTCTGTTAAAATCATTGACCACGGGGATCTGGACCCAGGCAGCTTTCGGACAGAACTGGTCTGTGCTAGGCAGCTCGGCCCACTCGGCCTTCAGAAAACAAGGATGGGAGACATATGCTCGGCTCACATCATTTTGTTCTGATTTATTTTAAACCGCTTAAGATGATTTTAGCACAAAGAGTGGTGTATCTTCCTTGCATTCTGAGAGCCACTGGATTTTCAAGCTAGAGTACGATTTTTTTTTTTAATCCAAATTTAGAAAGTGCCTTACAGAGAAGACAACAGTATGCTAGTTAGCCTTTTGACTCACTTTTAAAGAAAGATACTTAAGATCAAGTACATTGAATTTGGAGACTGGTTCCCTCTCCGTTATTAGGGGCTGGAAATGGCCCATTTTTCAAAACTAAGGTCAGAAAAGGGGTGTTTCTGACGAAGGAGTTCTTCCGGGCTGGGCTCGTGCCACAGAGATTGTCCCACGCATGTGTCCCGAGTCCTTGTCCTATACACAGCTTTTACTTCCAAGGAGGAGTGTGGCATTCAGTTCCAATGTCATCATGTGGATAACAGTCCCTGCCTGGCTAAGTAACTGTCACAGGCAATCGGGCCACTTCCCAGCATGACCCGCAAGCTAGATAGTGCCCCTCGAGTGGTTGAGAGACCCGTGCAAATATTATTCTTTTAAAGAAGCCAATGCAATCTTCACAAATTGCAGTCCCAGCCTGGATGCTGGTACTACCTCTAATAGTGGGGAAAAAATTAAGATTGGGGACAACAGGAAACAGGTTGGATCCCCAGGGAAAGCAGCCCGGAAGCTACAGTAGGGGATGGGGGACCCCAGGGCTCTGTTCAAGCCCTGGGGCTGTTCCCTTTATTCCTCCAAGCCTCCGCTCCCCGGATTTAAAATGAGAACGGCACCCAGCCCAGCCCACTGTCAAGGGCTGTTGCAGGAATCTGACAACAGCCACCAATATTTGCATAGCCGAGCTGCCCGGTTTCATTTTCTGTTTGAAAGTTTCTCTGAAGGGTGACGTGCTGGAGACACGAGAACAACTGCTATCATCTTAATAACTTTTCTGGCAAACACGACGATGATTGTTTATGTTAATCTTGCAACTGTTAACAATAATTCACTTCATTCTCATAATGAAATTTATCTATTTGACTTATAATAAATACGATCATATCAGTCATATAGTCCTTTTTCTGGTCATGAAAGGAACATATGCTCACTATAGAAAATTTGGAAAATATAGAAAAACGCACATAAGGGAAGAATTATTCATCCTTTCTCCCACGCAGAGGCAAGCTCTGGTCGCATTTTCCTGTGTTTCCTTCCAGGCTCTGCTCTCTGCTGAGTGGCTTTCATCAATTCTTGTAGCATCTATTTTCAGATAACGCCGTGGGCTTTTATGACTGGTCCTCCTTGTCGCCTTGGCCCTTCTGATCCTCAGTGGCTGTTGCTTCTCTCTGGTTGCCTCCTTCGGGGGGCCCCGCTCAGGGTCTGGGTGCTCAGGGAAAAGACCTCAGGCTCCCCAGCACCCAGGCTCCTTGTTCTGCCATGCTGGGAGCCCTGTTGGGGCAGCCCTGACACACGGCCAGCACAGCCCCATGGCAAAGCCAGGCCTGCAGGGGGGCTCAGGACGTCAGGGAACGGGAGCGAGTGGCATGAAACCCAGTCTCTCGCAGGGCCTGGGCCGTGGAGGTGAGCATGCTAGGCCTTCCCGTGCGGGAGCGGGCTGGGAGGTGGGAAGACGCAGGCCATCCCTGACAGAAAATCCAGGGACACGGCAACATGGATTGGGGGAAAGCGTGTAAAAAGCAGCTTCAATGCTTGGATTCTCAGCAAAGAAAGATGCTCGGGGCCAGGCATGGTGGTTTACTCCTATAATCCCAGCACTATGGGAGGCCAAGGCGGGTGGATCGCCTGAGGTCAGGAGTTCCAGACTAGCCTGACCAATATGGTGAAACCCTGTCTTTACTAAAAATACAAAAATTAGCTGGGCATGGCGGCGTGTGCCTGTAGTCTCAGTTACTCAGAAAGCTGAGGCAGGAGATTGCTTGAACCTGGGAAGTGGAGGTTGCAGTGAGCTGAGATTGCACCACGGCACTTAGCCTGAGCGACAGAGCAACACTTCGTCTAAAAAAAAAAAAAAAAGAAAGAAAGAAAGAAAGAAAGAAAGAAAGAAAGAAAGAAAGATAGATGCTTGGACCAAATAAAACAAACCACTTCTTAGACGTGCAAAGTTTCATTGGAACTGTTTGGATAATGTTTCCAAGGTGTTCAGCGTTATGGCCCTGGCTTACACCCGCATTAGGGCCAAGTGGTGTGGTAGGCAGAAATCCACCAGAGCTTCAGTGCAAGAGCACAGTCCCCCAATACCATGTCACAATCATGCACATGCCTTGGCCGGTCCCAGAACCAGGCCTTGGACAGGAACCACACCGACCTCCCTATTGCCTTCTGAGTAACTGATCCAAAGGCATTTTTAGAATAGCCAGTACATTCGTGATAGGAGAAATGCAGTCTGTGAGGTCCACCTTAACCCCTTAGAATAGTGTAGTGGCCTCAACGTCTTAGCAACAGATCATTCAAGATTTATTACAAACTCAAGTTGCAGACAAATTTCACAGGCGAGATCATAGTTCGCAGTGTTAGTTACAGTATAGAAATATTAGCAAGACATGACATAGAGAATCATAGGGGACATGACAGTAAATTATCCCACAGCTAAATAATGGAACATTGTGTCACCCTTAAAACGGTGTTGACACTTTGGTTGGCCAAAGCAGGCAGATCACCTGAGGTCAGGAGTTCGAGACCAGCCTGGCCAACGTCTGAAACCCTGCCTTGACTAAAAACACAAAAATTAGCTGAATTTGGTTGTTTGTTCCTGTAATCCCAGCTAGTCCGGAGGCTGAGGCAGGAGGGTCACTTTAACTCTGGAGGTGGAGGTTGTAGTGAGCCGAGATCGTACCATTGCACTCCAGCCTGTGTGACAAGAGCAAAACTCCATCTCAAAAAATAAAAATAAATAAAAATAAAAATATGGTGTTGGCAAAGCGTTTGGAATGGCATGGGTATGTATGGGGTACAACACTTTCCTACAGCACGTACGTATGTGAAGCATGTCCCTGTCTGCATATGTGCACTGAGCAGGAGTTGGGAGGGAAATACAACAGGATGTTATTTTGGGATAATGGCATGTAGGTGAATTTTCCTTTTCTTGTGTATTTTATACTTAACACGTATTTTTTATTTACTACTGAAATTATGTCTTACCTATCTTTGTATTTTAGTCTTAAATTGCATATACTTTGTGCTTCCCTGTGCTTTCCTTAAACACATGGTATTTTTATAATCAGGGAAAAGCCATTTTTGAAGGCTCGTTATAGAAATACAGACAAATAGAGACAAATGGCACGTTTTCTTTCAGTCACTGGGGACGAATGATACATACAGCAGAAGTATTCGTTGGGCCAACAAATAGGAATAGTAAGTCAATATTATTCTTTCTTTCATAAGAGAGTTGTATGTTGGTAGCTTATTAATCAAATACTACATGAGTGTTCAAACACATGTACTTGTACAGCAAGGCAGAAACATCTCAGTGAAGATTTTCTGTGGACTGGGGAAGTGTTTTTGTCTCCTAACAATAGCATTAAGAAGGGAGAAACGACAGTCTTCTTCTTGAATCTTCGGTGGGATGACCACCCTCCCATGGCGAGCCATGCTGCCTGATTTTCACTTTGGGCTTTCTGCTTCCCCCGTTTGGGTTTTAAAGACAATTTAAAAGATTCTGCAAGCTGATTACTGAAGAAGTCCATAGAACCTGGATTCACAGTGTCAGATAATACATTGTGGTCTTCGAGTGGGAATCCTAGCGGTTTATTTAGACTCATCAGTTGCCTGATTTAAAAAAGAAAGAAAGAAAGAAAGAAAGAAAACAATTATTTTCTTAAGCTTGTATTGCCCTTAAAATAGTTCTCTGCACTAAGTCACCTGCCTATTCACGACAG